CAATGTCATCCTGTTGCGAAAAAAACTAATATCACTGGGATGTATAAACAGAAATGTCACATGGAGGGTATGTGAAGAAATTCTTCTGTCCTTTTCAGTGCTGGGTAGGCTTCCAGTGGCTATGGTCCAGTCTTGCGCACTGTTTCCAGAAATGAGTGGATCAGCTGGAGGGAATCCAGAGGAAAGCAAAAGAATAGTCTAGAAATACAACTGATAAGAAAAGATTGACCTTAGTCCTTTCATTTAACCAAACCGAGGGGAGGCATCTTAACCTGCAAACTTGTAAAAGGCTGCTGTCAAGGGGAGGAGGGTGTCTTGTTCTCCTTATCTGCTGTTGGTATGGTCAAGAAGCAGTGAGCTTAACTTGAAGCAAAAGACATGCAATTTAGGCACCAAAAAAAGCAAAACACCACTTTCTAATGAGAGGAGCAGTTGTTGCTGGAGCGGGTTGGTTGGGCAGGTGGTGGGTCTCCATCACTGGGGCTTAGGTTCAGTCAGAGAGGGTGGCCTGTGTGTGCTGTCTGAGAGGAGGTGTGGTTGGTGCTGCCCCCGTCACTGACCATGAGCCGGTGGCGACCCCTCACTCTGCAGGGCCGCCGTGCCTCTTTCCATCCCGCCTCCATTGGCTGGTTGCTGTCCCCACAGCTTCAAGGCCATCAAGGGGGGGCAACTGCCACAGCAGACCATGCAACAGCTTGAGTTTCAGAAGTCACAACTCAAACACAGGACATGCACTTACACAATATTTGCCTGGGTGTAAGCAACAAGCAAGGCTGGGCAAGATGTTTCTCTGCACTGTGCCTGCACCCAGGAGCTGCGAACCGCAGCACTGCATGGAGCATTCCTTGCAACATCTGTAGCGGGGGCTCTGACTGCTCTTCACTGTGGCTGTTGGGCCTGTAGCTCCCTTGCGCTCGAGTCTGCATGACCCTGGGCTGCTCCCTGCTTCTCTCAGCATCCTTGCCAGTGTCCTGCAGAGGGGCTTAGGGCCCAGGCCGAGTAGGGCGAGGTTCCTTATAGCTGCGGGACTCCTTCCCCTCGCCAGTGCTGCAGAGGTCTATGGCTGTGGAGAGTGACCTGGATTTCTCAATACAGCTAGCATCTGACTGTAGCACTGCATTTGCCTATTGCAGACGTTCTTTTTTTTTTCAGAAAGTGGTATTGTGGGAGGCCCGTGACATGGTATGGTCATGAAAGAGTCTGGTCTTTACACTTCCTAATTTTCTTAACAGAGAGGGATTGCCATGGTAGGAGATAGCGGTCGTTAAGGCAAGCGTACGAATGCAGCTCTTTTCAGCCCAGCCTAGGACATGCAGAAGGAGAGACCTGTCCCAGAAGCCTGGATGTGAATGACTCTCCAGAGCGCTGCTGTTCCCACTGCAGCGCCCTGTGCGCATGGCCAGCGTGAGTCACCCCGCTCCACTTTCAAACACAGCGAGTGCAGGGATCAGATGGGACCCAGTGGCTGGAGCTCCCCTCTCCAGAGCCCAGCTCACAGGGGTGGCTGGAGCATCTTGCAAGCCTCCTGCTTTACACAGGCTACTTTTTCAGGGCGAGGCATCCCTAGCTGGATTGTAGCAATGTGCTTTTTTGTCTCTTTCACAGTTTTGAGATCAAATCAAAATTGATCCTAACTACAGGCAGCTAGATACGGTAGCTACCATATAACTTTCCACTTACTCACTGGCTTTGAGTTGCTCTGTGTGGATTGTGCTGTCTTTCTGCCTCTGAAAAAGTACAAGGCTTGCATGGCTTTGAAGAAGCTATCTGG